CAACCCCCCGTCCTCTCCCCCCCTCCCCTTTCAGCGTGCATTATGCATACGCGTGCCCCTCGATAGACCTTTTCACTTAAGATCTCTTTCGTCGTCCCGGGCTTGGCGATCGATCGTCGATAGGCAGGGATCGTCACCTGGATCGACGACCGGTTGCGGATCAGAACAGAGGAAGGAACGGAGTATTAAATCCGCTCGGCTAATTCGTTGCTCTAAGTGGTTTCCTCGAAATGAGTCGATGGTATTTCGTTCACAGACGTTACAATCTCTCGTCGCCGATTTCAATCTTCTTGTTTCGCCGGCCTCTCATTTCTGTTTTATTTCCCTCCCGACTCGTTTCATTCGATATATATCTCGCGTTTGTTTGATCCTCCCTTCTTTCCTAGATCGATCGTAAAAAAAGGAAAGGAAAGGAAAGAAAAGGCAGTTCTAATATATTTACGCGATTTCCTTTTTAGGAACTAGACTCGCTGGTGTTGGGCACTTTGAATATAACCACCGAGTCAACGAACAAGTCGAAGTTTATTTTTAGGGCATTAGCCAATTAACTATTAACTCGTTGGCGCCACGGCGTTGCTCCTATTTTTGCTTATTTCTTACACGAGAAATGCATCGTTGCCCTCTTCCGAATCTTCGGTATGTTAGCCGAGAATAATCCGATCCAAAGTGACGCGCTCGATGTTGAACGCTGTCACCCGGACATTTCGCAAATGAAATATACTTCTGGCACGATCGCCTCACCGATATTATTTTTAAATCCGTTTCTTCGTATTTTCGTCTAACGAGTCTATCTAAACTATAACAGTTTAGCTTTATTCGTTTCTTCCTCGTGTGCGAATTCAAAGCGTTTCGCTGTTACAGTCGAGGATAGATAACAACGCGAATACGAGGGAAGTATCGTAATGTAGTTCGTTGACACCATGATACAAGCACGACGAAGGAAAGAATTATTATCGCTTATTATATTATATTAATTATGTAGAGAAGTCGAAGAACGTTTATAGAGATCGTTTCGCGAATAAAATTGAACTTGTTCGAAACAAGAGCAAGAACAAAACGTGAAAAAGAAAGAAGAGCTCGAGAAGAGTGGGAGAGGGAGAGAGAAAGAAAGAGAAATATCTTGTTAGTGGCTCGTGGATGAACCAGTTAGACAAGCTGAAGATATTTATCTAAGATATTTGGTCATTCGTGGATGCCTGGGGGGAGAGAGATCCTGAGCGTCTACCTATACGTTTAACCGAGTGATTGATTTTCGTCGGGCGCAGCGAATGTGGTGGTCAAGGCGGTCGAGTTAGATCCAAAGTTGGATCCGGCGAGCACCTGGTTATGGGTGGCTCGGTTAGTTCTCAGGGAAGACTTAATGGAATACGCTATTGTTTGTCATGGTTCCAACATGGCAGAGACTGTCAGTCATCCTATGATTGAAGACACTCGGAAAAAAAGTTTTTTCATTCCCTATAACGTCGATCGCGAAACAACTTAACGGTACAAACAACTGCTTGTCTTTGTATATATATATATATATATGTTAATTAATCCTTGAGATTTATACATTATCGATATTTCCTGCCACGTGAATCAAACCCATTATTTAAAATTATTACAGAGAACGTATATGTAAATCAAGATCCGCTTTATTCTATAAGCTTCTTATGCATAAGAACCGTAGAGACGTACAATCACAGCAGAACAGTAAATCCTGTAAAACGGGAATGCAGTTTGTTTTACGCATAATAATTTATCTTATCGCGTTAGATACCGCACATCGGTTTCGACAGTTCTTGGCTACAGTTAAATTTACTTTCACAGTCGACATTTTACCACATTTATGTTGCACGCAATTCGTTACATCGCGTAAAAATATTCCCGAATATGCCCGACTTTTCGCACAGATTTTCACACAGATTATTCGTTTCCTTCCTTTTCCCCTTCCTTCCTGCTTCCTTCCTGCTACATATTTCCTCGTTTTCCTCTGCGTGACGAGTGTTTTAAGGATGACTAATTACGATCCAAGCACCTGGTTTCAAACCCCGTAGAACAGGGAGGACGGAATTCGAGAACGAGAGGCTCGATGTTAGTCATACCGCTCGAAACAAAGGATTTCACCGAGTTGTTTGCCCAAAACTGTCCCTCGTCGAGCTTCGTCATGCATTCGATGACTCTTGAAACCGCAGGATATCCCACGTTCGTTTCCTCGCGTCGATTTGGCGCCACACGATCCATCATCCTGAACAAACACGAAGAATATTCGAATGTTCGAGGAAGAGAGACAATGGTTGTACAAATAATTAAGAATTTATATATAAACGAAAATGGTAAACTGGGCATGGAATCGATTATAATTTTTTGAAGGGGAATATTAATATCGATAAAACTATTTTATTTCTCTACCGTAATCTGACAATGGAGCGACCATAGCTCGAAGGCTGTTCGATATTATCGAAAACAAAAATCTGTTCTCGTACTCAGACTCGTTTGGCTTGTCGGCGACGCTTATCTCCTGCATAGTGGCATCTATTTATATTTTGCGTTCGTTAGTCGATCAGGGGCATACGATTAAAGACCAGTATCCGTGTGCGTTTATGAGCAAACGTTCGAGCCGATTTAACTTGGATGTGTACACGTATACACAAGCTGCAATTTCTCATTGCGCAATGATAATACGATAATGCATAATCGATAATCGGCTTACCTGATTCGTTCGAATCGAACGTCTCTAAGAAACGTGAATGAATTCCTCGTTTCTGACGGTGTACAGGTTCGTTTTCAATAATCTGTAAATGAACGAAACGAATGTAAGATAGAAAGAAAAAAAGAAACACATCATGAAATTGATAAAAATACGAAATTGAACGATCCAAAAATACGCGATAAAGGTGTGGTAAAGTGGGAACTCGCGTTCATGAAAATGCACACCGCCTCGGTTATCGGTTCCCCCTTATCCTAATTCACTTCTATTTTCTCTGCACTCGAGGCGCCATACCCTCCGCGATAAAGAGACGTCCCTACCGATCCCATTGGCGGCGCATTATCCGTGGTGACAAGGCAACGTCATTACAAGCGGACAGAAACGTGGCCAGCCGTTAAGGTTTTCGTTCGTGTGAAACACGAAGGAATCGGGAAAGGAACGCGGTGTCCCCCTCCTCCTCGTTGCGACGCTCGAAATACACGCTCGAAGACGAGATAAAGAAGGAAGAAAGGAAGAGACACGTCCGCCAAGGTGTACGCGATTCGAAAAGGCCAGGGCGTTCCCAAACTCGAAAACGCACTTAACCGTTCGAAGATTAGGGAGGTAAAGGGCAGAGAGAGAAAGAGAGAGAGAGAGAGAGCCCCCTTTTCGGCCTTCGCTATCTGTTTCGATGGATGGTCCCGAAGAAAAAGGAGTGTTGATAAGAAGGCAGTTGGGCGGGTTTTAATGCGCAGCGACAAACCGGCCCAAGAACGAACCCACTGAAATCGGCCTGTTCAGAAAAGGAAGAGGGAAACTTGTGGGCAGATAATAAAAAAGTGGTGCTCGAGAGAGAGGAAGCGGTTGTTTGGCCGGGAGGTGAACTTCGGAATCGATTTCGGAAAAGGATGAAACGTTTTATCGTTCCTATTGGAAAACGAACAATTGGAGATTGGATCGGCTCCGTCGATCGTGAAAATTTGTGTTTACAACAAGTTTTATGGGAATTTTATCGTTTGATCGAGAAGTGACACGTGGCAATAATTATGGGATCGGCAATGAGAGAAGCTCCTTGTGCGAGGATAATATTAATATTCAAGTCCGACTTTCGAGCCGATAATCTCGAGCCGATTTTCGACGCGCGAGAGCAGTCAATTGACCGTGTAGCATCGAGTATCAAGACACGAGTTGCAGTTTGTAACGTCGTGAACGGTGATTGTTAACGGGTCGCCGAGTTAATATTAGCACAAGGTTTTTCATCGTGGTGCCGTTGCTTTCCAATGGAAGACTTTTCAAACCGTTTGCGAACGAGTAAACGAGTGTCGTATCGATAGAGGCAGTAGCTCGCCTTCGGATTTTTCTGGCGCGCCTATTGTTCCGTCACAGAATCGAAACTTTTACTTTGAACTCGCGAATTCGAAAACGTTTAACGCGCGAATCGATTCGCTGGAGAATCGGGCTGGCAAGAGAACGTATGCCAACGGCCAATGCCAAGCAATTACAATTACGAGCTTACGTATGAATGTTGTTTTCTTAACAAAGAGGTGAACAAATTCTTGGCAACGTATCAAGGAATGTAAGCAAAAATACAAGGATATTCTTCTCGATTGTGAATCAAAACGGGAGAAAAATATGGGGAAAAATATTACCCGAGGAGAGAAAGAAAAAAAAAAAAAAGAAAAAAAAAACATACGAGGCGAGCGATTAAAAATTACTTATTCATAAGCAGTCGCAGCTATTACGTAAAAAAACGTCTGGAATATTTCTGGCAAACCTTCCTTCGAGATATTCTATACGCATATACGTGGTTGCCGTCGTAAAATACACGTTTTATTGATGCACCTTACCTCCAACGGATGTATGCTTCGCGGCAAAAACAAAGACTATAAAAATTGGTTTGCGTGAAATTCCTTGTATCTTCTCTCGCCGCGCCAGGCGACTCGTTGTTGACGGGGGGGAACATTATGGTAATCGAGATAATACAAATTTGCAGACCTTGTAATAACGTAGCATGCGGCTAGGACCGATGTGAGGGCAGCGATCGCCAAGACCAGAGCTGCGACGAGAAGCGGCTTAACGCGATTCTCGTGAAACGGATCTGACGATTCCCGTCCTTCGGCGATCGGGCCTGGATCAGGCTCGATCGATCCCATTACGTCTCGGCTCGACGACATCCCATTAAAGGAACCTTTATACACAACGCAAGATTGGATCAGAAAATCCATTTCTCCGGCTACTTTCATAATATAGGGAATAATAGGTCTTTGAATGTTTTAAATCACGCGTATCGTAAATCGAATTGATAACCGTTACGTATGTTTAAAGTTAAACTCAAGAGCTCAAAATTGTTATTGTGAGCTCGAACGTCCGGATATGGATACTTCCGACCGGCGCCAACCCGTACGAATTTGGGATAAAGCTCGTTTTTCCTCGAAGCAAATAGAACCGAGCCGAATATATTTTCCAATAACCGGACATTTTTAATGGCACTTTTAATATATAAGGAACGATGAGAGTAGATGATAAAAAGCGCGGGGAGGGATTATTTACCATTATAGTCTAAAGTAGAATTGACGGGATCGGGCCTGTCTTTGTCGTGGATCCTCGTGGACGCGTTCACGTTTCGATCAGCGTTGCAGTAGTCGTGGTTGTTGCAACACTTCAGTCTTTGCATGCGGATCCAGGCAGCCGACGATCGGTCCACGTTGTCGCTCGACTTCGACCTCGTGACCCAGGACTTTGTCTCGCACAACAATGGCGTGGCAAACCTGGGCAATGGCAACGTACAACGTTCCGATAAAATAGCCACTCCACGATAAAGTTCCGTGACCCCGGTGATAGCCAGGATTTAAATAACCATTTTCCACGATTTACGTCGCAAGATTTCAATATTCCACGCTTATATCGCGCCT